TTGTACTTGCACCACTCACTCTTCAAAGCTCTCTGAGAGCATAAAGATGGTTTTGTGGCTCTTTTTGATGTAGCTGATGATATTGTCAATAATCCATTTGCCAGGAATGAAGTCCCGTTTGTGAAGACACAACTTGAAGGGCAGGTTGAAGTGCTCCAGCTCCTGGACCATGAGGTTCTCCACCCAGTAGGAATCCTGCTCACTGTAGGACACAAAGGCGTCATAACAGAGGTCCCCGCGGGGAGCCTTCTTGGGCTTCCGTTTGGCCTGGAGCCAGGCCCACATCATCTTCATGCACCATACCCTGTGGAAATGGTGGCACAAAACCCCGGTGAGCAGGAGCAACAGGAAAAGGGCGCAGCACTTGGCGGACACCACGGCTGCCCTGTGGCATTCAGCCAGCAAGAGCCGGGCATCCTGAACCCACTGGCCCCGCACGTGGGATGGAGAGTCACACACGTAGTTTTCTGGCCAGTCGATCAGGTCCTGGGCCCGTGCTCGCTGCCCCTGCGTGAAAGACAGGAAGTCACAGGAGCAAATGAAGCTGTTGCTGCTGGCTTCCAAGGTCTTCAGTTTTGGGGGGAAAAAAATCAAGTTGTTTGTTAGAGAAAGTTTTACTTTCCTACCAATTACCAAAGCAGAAGGAAGCACCTGGGAGGGTCTTCAACAGATACTTGAAAATGTAAAGTTATTTAGGATATGACAAAATAAAAGACTTTATTGCTAACATCTAATATGCCTAGAGTCTGGGAAACACTGAGTGTTAAATTGTGTAATTTTGTACTGGATAATTTCAAGTATGTTTCCTTTTCTGGCCACTGGTAGGAGTTAGGTAAAGAACCAAGTGTACACTGACCAAGATCAATGTTAATTAGGTTTTTCTAGAGTAAGTAACGTTCTCCAGAGTTTATAGATTATCTTGTCTTAAATTCAAACTCTGTAGGAAGCCCCACACATCCTTATGAACTGACTGTTTCAATTAGTCTCCAAGCATCAAATTTTCACTGAGATCCAGGTATCCTGTGGATTTGAAATATTGCGTGCCAGGATGTGGTTGGTGTTAAGCAGACTTTGGCACTTTCAGCTGTGAATATCTTTAGTTAATATAAAACAAGCATGTCTTTAAAGTTCTGTCATCATGGAAGATTCTCATAGCTAAACTCTGTTGTTATTATAGTTT